TGCCAGCTGAACACCTAAAATGGGGTCATCTGAGGCAAACTGTGCCAGCTCAATACCTAAAATGGGGTTATCTGAGGCGAACTGTGCCATCTGAACATCTAAAATGGGATTATCTGAGCCAAACTATACCAGCTGAACACCTAAAATGGGGTTATCTGAGGCAAACTGTGCCATCTGGACATCTAAAACAAGATTATCTGACCCAAATTGTGCCATCTGGGCATCTAACATGGGATTATCTGAGGCAAACTGTGCTGGCTGAACCTGAAATGGGATTATCTGAGGCAAACTGTGCCATGTGAACCTAAAATTAGATTATCTGAGCCAAACTGCCTGCTGAACACCTACGTGGACACTGACACTAAACACACACATGAAAAAATTATTATTTCATAATTAATATTAATTAAATATTAATTTAATTTTAATATTACTTTAAAATTTTCTTATTTACACACACCATGCAACCCCTTTGAGCTGCAAGAGTGAAAATGAATTTTTCTCTGGATTTGACTCTTCTCTGGGAGTCACCTTCCTCAAGAGGAAGATGTTATATTGCCAAAATACCTGTGTTCCAACCCTTTCCCCAGCAAAAAGCAACCACAGCCTGGACTTCCTAAATATTAGCACAGCTCAGACTGGCTGTGGTGATTTTAAATCAAATGAAAAGGTTTAATTAAGGTTGTGTGGTTGAATTCCAGCTGCTCTGCTGAACTTGGGCAGATCTCTAAAGCCACCTGAAAACTTGAGATATAAAACCAAAGAATTAAAGAAGCAGCTGTGTGTGGGCATGAGAAATGTGCAACAATTCTGGAGAGCCAAGCTCGAACAAGATTTCCTGTCCATAAATGGAATATAAGAGGTCACAGACATGAAAATAAAGCTCGTTAAAAGGTAGTTTTTTGAACCTGTTTCCATTTAATCACCGGGGTTTTTTCCCCCTCAGCATTCCTGGGATCTGCTTACCTATCACTGCGTTGGAAATGGTGATTTTTAACCACATCCTGTCCCGAATTTCAAGGCCTGAGTCTGGCAGCTGCATGACCTTGACAATAGTAGCCATGTCACTCTTCACAGTTAAGGGAGATTCTTCTAATTCTGAAAGGAAAAGAGGCCACAGGCTGATTTGAAATGAACTCAGGCTGAAGGAACTTCTCAGCTCCCAGTTTGGAAGAAACAAAAATACAGTTTCACCAAAAAAAAAAACCCACAACAGACCCTAAAAAAACCTCAAATCAAAACAAAACAAAAAAATCACCCCAAAACCACAAAGGTTCCCAAATACACCCTCATCCAAGGAGTGAATTCCAGAATTTGTAGCAATTTTTCAGATTTTTAGTGGCAGAAATGCTTGGCTTCCCAGAGCAGCTACAGGATCCACTCTGCATCAAGAACGGGAACCCAGGGATTTTTGTGATCCATCATTTTCCAGTTCCAATTTCCCAGGAACAGCCCCCTGGAGAACTCTGTGGGACAAGTTTTTGGGGTTTTTTTCTTTTGGGGTTCACTGCCAGGAGTACCACCCATCTCCATGGAGAAAGAGGATGACCATGGCTCAATCCATGTCCAGTTTTTTATTTAAAGATCTGGACATTAGTGGGGAGAATTGAAATGATAAAAGAAATCTTCCCTCCTCAGAAGAAATCAGGGATTTTTTAATAAAAATCCTTCTCAGGAACCCCTCACAATCCTCTTCTCCCAGGATTGCTTTGCCCTCAATCTTTTTTGTGGAACATTAAAAAAAAAAAACTCCCAAATGCCTCCACAGCCATTCCCAGTTCACACCATTACAGGCAGAACTGGATCCCCAGAGGTTTCACACTTTCCTGATCAATTTTTACAATAAAATCACAACAGAGTTGAGGTTGAATTTGTCAAATCCTCCTTCTTCTCCCATCTTCCAGCCCTAGAAAATTCATTTTTATCTGTGTTTGCAGCCCAGACCCTTCTCCAGCAGAAATTCCAAAACCCTCCTCCCCTCCCAAGTTCCACACATCACCCACCTTTCAAAAGCACTTTTGTCCTTTTCCAGCCACCCAAAAATTTTGGATAAAAAAAGGTACAGCAAGCGTGAAACAATGAAAACTGAAAATGTTTCTTTCCATACATGCACTGCCAATATGCATGAAAATATCCCAGACCAGCTCTGCATGCAGCTTCAATACTTACAAACCTCAAATAAACGCTAAAACTTTGCTTTTGCTTTAAGTTAGTTTGGTTAGTGGCAAAAAGCAACATGTCTGGGGAAAAAAAAATACACCAAACTAATATTGGGGAGCAATAAATTGTATTTTCTTGGAGACTTGAGATCTGCATATGAACAGAAAATCTGTATTTTAAAATTTCTGTACAAATATGGTAAATTCTGAGATGCATCTGAAATGCTCCCATTTTGGTCTGAATTTAAAAATTCACCAGACCCAGGGCAGGGCAGGTCACAGGACTGAGCTGAAGGAAGAGGTCACAATAAAAATCAGGGTTACTCTATTCTCTTACATTCCAGAAAGGAAATCTTTTAAGTCACTGGCACAGAAATGAGAAGCTGTCTCCAGAAATGTGGTTCTGCTCCCAAATACCTTTATTTTTCAAATCTGACTGAGAGGGTGCCTGCTCCCCACTTCCCAACCACAGCATCAAGGCACATGAATTGTTCAAAGTGGAATGCTGAGGACAGACTTGTCTGACAGCAATCAGCAGAGAAATTGGATTCCAGCAGTACCTGAAAGGCTCAAAACACATCTCAGGACAAAGCAGCCAGCAGGAAAGGGCTTCATGTGCTTCCTGCTGCAGATTATTTCCCCTCAGTGCTGCTGCCTGATGTCTAAAAACACCTACATTAAAATAAAAACAACCTTTCCCTCCAAGGTGAGGTGGAATTCCAGCTTATAGAGTCTGAGGGATTTTATATCCAATACCACACAGGTCTTTAAAATCCTCAAAGTGTTGTTCTGAATTAAATAAAAGAAAGAGATAATACTCTTTTAACAAATTTCCAAAATAAGGAGTTGGAGCATTGTGTTAATAACAGCAACAGGGTTTGATCCCTGTCTGGGCCATTCATTTAAGATCTGGACTCAATGATCCTTGTGGGTCCCTTCCAAATAAAAAGATTCTGTGATTTGAGTGTTCTGAGAGGCTTCTGAATTAAAAAAAACCTCTCTGAATCTTGAAAACTCTTGGTTTCATGGATTCTTAGAACTTTTAGAACTTTTTTAGACTGCCACAGACTGACAAACCAAGAGAAAGATTGAAGTCTAACCGTAATTTCATGTAGGATGTTAAATTTTGTTTTAGCTTGCTCTAGAAAAAAAAAAAAGCACAAAAAAATATAAAAGAATTCCATGTGAATATCAGGGAAGGATTTCCCAACTGAAAGCATGAACGATATGGCTGAAATTTATTAAAAACCAACCAAATGCACCTGAATGGAAAAGCCTGAACGTTATGGTTGAAATTTATTAAAAAACCAACAAAATGCACCTGAATGGAAAATCTTGAACCATTATGGTTGAGATTTATTAAAAACCAACCAAATGCACCTGAGTGAAAAAACCTGAACGTTATGGTTGAGATTTATTAAAAACCAACCAAATGCACCTGAGTAAAAAAACCAGAACGCTATGGCTGAAATTTATTAAAAACCAACCAAATGCACCTGCATGGAAAAAACCTGAACCTATGATTAAAATCCACCAGCCACCACTTCTCCCTGAGACAGAACCCTGACCAAACACCTCTACATCAACCTCCAACCTTTGCCAGAGGTTTTCCTGCTTTCCCCAAGCGTGAGAAACCACTCAAGGCTTGGCTGGCGCCGCCGCTGTCACCGTGCCCGTGGCCGGGCGCTGGTGGCCCCGAGCAGCCCCCTGCCCTGGGCTGGCCAGGGGGTGACTTACTTTCCGACTCGGGAATTGAGCTTGTTAGTGAGGAGCTGGTAGATGTGGTGATGCTCATGGAGGGGCTCATACCGTAACGGGGGTACGCTCCCGTCATGGCCGTGGTATGAGAGATCCACGCCGCGGGGTCGATCGGCCGCACCGGCTCAGCTGCCAGCAAAAGGCAAAAAGAACGGGGTCAGGAATGCAGCAAACGCCAAGGTTTTGAGAGATCTCAGGGGTTTTTTCTTGGTTATACCACTTTTAGTAAGGGTTTCGTGTGAGTGAGGTCCCATAGTGTACAGCATCATAAAGGGAAAGAAAATGGGGTCAGAAATGCAGCAAACACCAAGGTTTTGAGAGATCTGAGGGGTTTTCTTTGGTTTTCTTGTTGTTTCTCTGGTTTTCTGAAGGTTTCACATGAGTGAGGTCCCACAGATTGTACCACCACAAAGGGACAGCAAACGGGGTCAGAAATGCAGCAAACACCAAGACTGGGAGTGGTCTGAGAGGTTTTCTTTTTGTTATACTGGTTTTAGTAAGGGTTTCGTGTGAGTGAGGTCCCACACTGTGCATCATCATAAAGGGACAGAAAATGGGGTCAGAAATGCAGCAAACACCAAGGTTTTGAGAAATCTGAGGGGTTTTCTCTAGGCTTCTTGTTGTTTCTCTGGTTTTCTGAGGGTTTCACAGGAGTGAGGTCCCATAGTTGGCACCACCACAAAGGGACAGCAAATGTGGTCAGAAATGCAGAAATCACCAAGGATTTGAGAGATCTGAGGGTTTTTCTTGGTTATACCACTTTTAACAAGGGTTTCGTGTGAGTGAGGTCCCACAGTGTGCACCATCATAAAAGGACAGAAAATGGGGTCAGAAATGCAGCAAACACCAAGGTTTTGAGAGATCTGAGGGTTTTTCTTTGGTTTTCTTGTTGTTTCTCTGGTTTTCTGAGGGTTTCACATGAGTTGAGATCCCACAGATTGTACCACCACAAAGGGACAGCAAAACGGGGTCAAAACTTGCAGTAAACACCAAGACTTTGAAAGATCTGAGGGGTTTTCTTTTGGTAATACTGGCTTGAATAAGGGTTTCACAGGAGTGAGGTCCCATTGTCTGCCCCAGACAAAAGGCACAGAAAATGGAGTCAAACTTGCAGAAAAGACCAAGATTTTGGAAGATCTGAGTGGTTTTCTCTTGTTCTCTTGTTGTTTTTCTGGTTTTCCTAAGGGTTTCAAGGGGGCTCCCCCAGTCTGTTCCAATCTTGCATTTATTCCACCCTTATCTTCAGTGCCACTCTCATCTTCTGTGGACTGGGAACAAACTGGCTCCAGTACCACCAGCACAGCCCTCACCAGCAGGAGGCAGCTGTGTTTGTCACATGAGCACAGATCTTTTACTGCTACTGAAAACAAGTTCATTTTCATTTTTTTTTATGTGTATCTTGGCTGCTTCCCCCACATCTTCAAAACACTCAGCTGTCTCTAAGAGTTCATGGTGAGAAAATGAGGATTTTTAACACTTGGCGTAATTATTTCCAAACCTTTTATGAATTGAAAGGTTAAGAGCACCTCCCAAAAGGTCAGGAGCTTGATCCAAAGATGTGAACCAAGAGAAAAACTCCCAGGAATTCAATGGGCAGCGGAACCCCAGGCTCCCAATACAAAAGTAAACAAATAAAAGAACTGAATGGGTTGAATCTGTTAGATGCCAAAATAAGTGAAAATATTCCAGACTTTTGGGGCTTCCCAGGAACCCAGAGAAGAGTCCAAATGTGTACTTACCCCTGGGGATGGTGAAATAACTCCTGGGAGTAGGGTCCCAGCATTTGGCTACTGTTAGGCTGATAGGTCTAGGAAGAAAGAAAACAGGTAAGGATGACTCTTAACCTTCCTACAGAGCTGAAAATGTTACAAGAACAATTTGAAACAAATTTATTCCTATCCAGCAGTTGTCAAGTACTTTCTGAGAATGGTTTTGAGAAGCTTTATAATATTTTCAGTATGAAGCACATCAGGACATTCCTGGTTTTGCACAGATGATGAGCACTGGTGGTGAAATGTGTTGGATGATCAGCTCTTGAGATATTAAAACACTCATCACAAGCAAACAGCCCTGCTGAAAGCAGGCAACTCCTCGATTCGTGTTGGTTTTGGCCAGAACCAACCTCACCTATTCCTCATTTACACTGAGGAGTTCACAGCTGAGATCAGTCATGCTGATGGATAACAGAATGTTGATTTCTCTGAGGTTTTCCCAGCTCCAACAACTGCACATGGAGGATAAAGGGAAGAAGATAAATGGAGGATAAACAGGAGGAGGTTTTGTGATGTGTGCTCACCCTGGTTTGGAGACGATTTCCCGTAAAACCCGAACGGCATCGTCATTGCTCATGTTCTCAAAATTGACATCATTCACCTGAAACAGTGCAGAGAGCAGAGCTCAGCCTTTGCAGCAGGAAAGTTAAAGGTGTTTTAATTACTTCATTAAATCCCCCAATTTATCTGCCTGCTGGCTGCTTCCATTCCTTTGAGATGTCATTTCTCAGACCACCTCACAAAGAGTCACCGATTTCAGGGATCTTTGGGCCACGTTTCCCTGAAGATGAGAAAATTCTGCTCCCTGGTTCCCACAGCCCGTGGGGCTGGTGGGATGGCAGAGCAGAGCAGCAGGATTTGGGGACAGGGACCCACCTGCAGCAGCATGTCCCCTGGCTCGATGCGCCCGTCCGCTGCCACCGCCCCTCCTTTCATGATGGAGCCAATGTAGATGCCACCATCGCCCCGGTCATTGCTCTGCCCCACAATGCTGATTCCCAGGAAGTTGTATTTTTCTAGATGGACACAAAGGGGAGGGTGAGGAAGAGGAAAAAAAGCAGGCAAAGTGATTGGAATGATAGCAAAGAACAAGGCAGTTTCAGCTTTGAAACATCTCAACACCTCAGCAGGGCAAGGTTTGACTTGCAATGATCTCAGGCTGCTCTAAATGATGAATATTTGTCTGGCACCTCCAGGGAAAGGCTGCTAAATACAGGATTTTTTCATCCAAGACAGTGTTACTTTAAAAAAAAAAAAACCTAGCAAGAGGAAGAGCACTGAAAAGACTTGTCCACACCTGGAAATTAGCTCTGATCACATTAAGCAATGTTTGTTCCACAAGTCAGAGAGGCTGGAAGGGTTTGGTGCTGCTGAAAAGTGCTGAATTTGCTGGCAGCCCTGCACATTTCTGCCTGGCTGACAAATGAAACACACGAGCAGCAGAAATGCAAACCTCCAGTGCCCTTCTACCCCAATCCCTCACCATTAACTCCACATCCTGAGTTCCAGCTCCTTCCCTGGAAGGAACACGGATCTGCTGGTGAAAACGGTCCAGTTCTGGATTAGGAATGCAGATAAATACAAAATACATCTCTACTAACTAAAATTCATCATAAAAAACGTGGCTGGTCCTCTTACCCATGTTGAGTGTGACAGTGATGATGTTTAGGGACATGGTGGAGTCAGTGATGCTGCTGAACGAGGACGACTGCAAAACACAAGAAAAAGTCTCAAGGTTTTAAATGGCTCAGAGTAAGAACTGCTGAGGATTAACTCATCAGGAATTGATTAACAGGTTTCCAATCGAAAGCCAGCTGGAAATTATTGAGGCTTCCTCAAAATTATGCTTCATTTAGAAACTTTAAGGAAAGAAATCTGAGCAGAATCTGCACTTTCTCCAAAGGTCTGATAAAAAGCACCCAGAGCACGTTCCTATACTGAGGTTTCTCAACTGAACTTCCCCTGGAATTATTTCTGCTTCCTGGCTGTGACTGACAGGCAAACATTTGGATCCTGAAGTGCCCAGTGGAGTGTGAATTACTGCCCACAGCTCCTCCCTAAAGGGAGGAGTGAACAGCACATGATCCAGCAGGAAGCAAGAGGAGAGAAACTGTCCTGTCTCCAAAAGAAATGCAAAGGTGCTTATCAAAGACCTCCTAAAGCACTATCCTGTGATCAAATGTGTGTGAGGTCATTCTTTAGTGTGTGGAGACTGAGATTTATGGGAAAACCAAACAGGAACTTCAGGAGTCTGTCCGTGGGGTCACCCTCATCCTGCTGCCAAGGGCTGGCACGGGAAAGGGCAAAGGCAAAGATTTGGGATTTCCTACAAACTTGGGATTCTCCTCCCAGCAGAGTGCAGGTCTCAGGGAATCTCACACCCCTTCCCACATCATAATGGAGCCTCTCCTCCAGAGCTTGGTCTTGGAAAAGACAAAAAATGGGATCACTGAACAGTGAAAGGAGACAGGCAGAAGTGAAAACTTCACTTTGGAGCCGCAGAACTTCAAATGCAGAGATTTAGCCCAGCCTGGAGCCACAAGGAGCCTTCTCCGTGAATTCAACAGGCACAGACGTGTCCTGGATCCCTTCCTGAGTCAAGAGCTCCCCTCAGAAACCCCAGCTCACCTCCCTGGGAGATGCTGGTGCCGACCTTACCCTGTCGATCTGCCGCATCCTCTGTTTCCTCCTCCGGCGCTTGTGCTTGCGGATGAGCCGGGACGAGGTGCTCTGCTCCGTGGAGCTGCTCAACCTGAGGGCAAGGACAGCAAATGTCAGCCCTGAGAGGCTCAGCCTCCTGCTCCTCCTGCCAGAACGAGCCGATTCCTGCAGCAGCAGCAGAGGGGGAATCACACCGACCGCGCAGGAGAGGATTCCAGCTGAACGACAGCAGGGATCAGATTAATAACTTAATTATTATTGAATTTAGCAGTTGTTTTCCTCTGGGAGCAGGTCTGCGTGCAACTCTTAATGATCATTTTTGTGAGTCCTGTCATGGTGGTGTATTTTCTTCCACTGTTATCAAGAATTCAAGGCTTAAATTTAAAGAAATCAAATAGAAATTGGTAACGGGGGACAGTGAATATGATTTATCTTCACATATTCTGTTAAGTATTATTTTGCTGTTTTTTCCAAACTTGTAGAACGTAAGTGTGCCACATTTTACATATAAAAATTTAAGGTCTTTAAAGAGTTTGGAGCATTAATCATCCTCACTTTACAGAGAGTAGAATGAGACAGAAATGGATTTGCCCAAATTAATTTCAGGAGCCTGGAACAAAGCCCAGATTATTAAAATACCACTGTAACACAAGAGAAACATCTCTCTTCTATTTCATATGTAAGAATGGCAAAAAAAAAAAAAAAATACAAAGCAATGCTCCATCATTAACCAAGATTAAAAATCCAGCCTTATGCAACACAGAATAACCAGTGCCAGGCTTTCCCCCCAGTTACCACATCCCTGCCTTCCATGCTCCAGCCACAAGCAGGAATGTGAGAACACCTCAAAAACTTGATGCCAGCAATTCCAAAAAGGAATTGCCCACAGGAAACCCCTCTGGCCTGGAATATTTTGATCAAGAATCAGCCCTGGAGGTGCTGGAGCTGCTCAGAGGGTGTGAATCCCCTTGAGTTCACACAACTATTTCAGGCATGTTAACCTCACACACTCCTCCTTCCCCTCCCAGCCAGGGGAACTGAAGAGCCAAGAAGTGGGATTTTACCAAAAAAAAAAAAAAGGTCCAAAATTTGATAACTCCTGGTGGGTGGAACAGCTCACACAGGAAAAACTAAGGAGGTGTCAAACCCAGGGCTCCCAAAACTGGGCTTGTTCAATATCCACCAAAGATTGACACAAAAACCTCCTCTTTTATTTTGCTGTCAATATTCTCCCCCTTCTTGCTTCCTCTCCCATTTTCTTCTCCTCCTTTTCCCTCACCCGAGGATTCAGCTAAAACTTCCCAGTTTGGGAGAATCTGAGGAAAGCCAAGGCTCACTGCAGTGAAGCTGCCTGCTCTCTAAAAGTGCATTTTTCTCCCAAATGACACCAGCAAAACCAGACTTTTCTTGACAAATCTCGGCGCCTCTGCTAGCAGGTGACAACATGTGAGACGTGACGCTGCTCCTGTTGTATTTTTGCCATTCTGCTGGGTGCTGGGATGGAAGGATGAGAAGCAGCTCCATGAAAAGCCCCAGCTCAGGTTTAGTTCAAGGGGGCACAAAAGATTTCAGGGGAAAAACAGAGCTAAACCAGCCTCTCAAAAAACCTGATGATCAGAAGGCTCTGCGGGAACATTTTTACACCTATTTTCATGGAGCTGTGACACATTTCATCATCTCTCCTTGTAATTTCTGCTCAATCCACAGCCCTAATGCATCCTGGCTGAATCCTTAATATTCTGGGAGCATCTGGATGCTAAAAAGCAGCTCAAATCTACTCTAATGAGGAATATTTTGCTTTCTGAAGCATCTCCAGAAATACTGGGTGAAAGTTGTTATTATTACAATCTGATGAGCAAGACAAGATGGTAAATTTGAGCTTTTGAGACAAATAAAGATGAAAAACAAATCTGGAATTATCACTACCAATTAATTTCATGCACCAGCTACTGCTCAAAACCCTGATTGCACTTCTAACACAAATTCCCAGAAATACCACAGAAGAGATTTAAAAAAATACTGTAATAATAATAATAATAGTAATAACTTTTTCTCCACTGTACAATTTCCAAAGGACAGGAAAAAAAAAGGGCAACATTTGTTAAAGAAAGCTTATCCACATGGCTTAAAGAGAAATTATGGCAATTTCTTAAATGATAAATAAACAATTTTTTGCAGTGAATTCTTTTAGTTGCATTGAACTGAGAGCAGCAATTGTTGACAATAATCCTACAGCTATCGATGTCAGCTTTTTTAAACCTTTAATTTGTTTTTACTGTGACGTTGCCTACATCAACCTGTGTTTAAAATCTTATCTGCAAACAACAGAAACAGTCGATTTGTAAATAAAATTATAAAAAAAACTGTCAAACACCTTGAAAAGAAAAAAAGTAAATAAATGACTGTGCTCCCACTGTCACTCTGCACTGTCCTGGAATGTCTGTGAATAGGTTAAACATGACATTATTCTTTAAATGAATGTAAACAAACTTCCTTGGGTTGGGAATTACCCAGCTCTGTCCCACTGCTCTGAGTTCAAATAAAACCAAACTGAGCCAGAAAAGCATCCTGAGCCTCACAACCTCCTCCTTTCCAGGACTGAACATCCTTTCCCTCTGATTTCCTGCCTCCGTGCCTCCCCCCTGCACGGCCTTCCTCCCAAAGCAACTCCCGCAGCAAACCCACCAGCTGCCAGGAACCAAAGTCACCTTGGTCCCCAGGGGATGTGTCCATCAGGGACCAAACTCACCCCTCAAACCCCTCTGTCCCCAGGGGATGTGTCC